CAGGCTCCTATCGTTTCCCTAGCTACTAAACTGAAACCCAACCTCACCATTTGAAATGTAATTTCTTACTCTGATACAATTGCTATGTCTATTTGTTTAATAATTTTGTAGACAGTGTATCCATAATACACAGCTCATCTTTGGTCTCTCTGGAGCTGGCCTGTTTGCCAGGAGGTAACATACCTACCTCTCTATCAAGTAGAAACAGAAACACAGACGTATGTCTAATTTTTAAAATGTACCCAAATCCTTCTAAGAGGGCATGCATCATTGCATGGACTCCTATTTTAATAATTTCCTTAACATATGAATGCCTTCCAGGAGTACTTCCAAAGGACAGTCAGTGAGATGAGGTACAGTGTGTGCAGTGTCTGGATTCTGAGAGGAAAGATGACTGTGGTGAACCAGAAGAATCACATGGATTCATGCTTCCAAAACTTTCTTGTAGGTACAGCCCTCAAGTGTTGCCATTACATATTTTTTCTAATTTGGAGTTTCTAAAATACATAGTTCCTGGACCATAAAGTAATTTCTACACAGTAAACATTTTATTGCCCAGGTTTCTAAGTATCTATTTACTCCATCTATCTAAAATACAAAGCAAACACATGAATAGCTAGCTCTGGATTGAGGAGACAGCCGAGAGGATAAAGAATTTGCCTCGCAAGCTTGAGGGCCTGAGTTTGACTCCACAGGACCCATGTAAAGTCAGGCGAAGAGCACACATAGGTGAGTGGCCCTGGGATGCGGGGTGAAGGCATGAGAATCCCTGAAACTCACGGGCCAACAAGCCTGGCATCAAAGAACAAAGAAACCCTCTTTCAAAGAAGGTAGAAGGCAAGGACTGACCCTAAGCTTTCCACTCATGTACCACGACATGCTTGTGCCACCCCTCATACACACAAACAAACACAGCCAACACGTTTAAAATACTCAGCTCCAAGGTCTTTTAAAAAGGCTATTACTATATCTTACGTTAATCTCTTTTGTGTAGACAACACACTTAGATGGCAAGAGTAGATTCTACTGATGGGAAAGACTAGCTTGCTACAGGCATGATCACCTGCACAGAGAGAGAGAGAGAGAGAGAGACAGAGAGAGAGAGAGACAGAGACAGAGAGAGACAGAGACAGAGAGACAGAGAGACAGAGAGAGAGAGATTTCTTCCTGAAAGAATTATATTACTTTTTATTCACACGCTTTTAAACATTTATGTACTCATTGGTTGACTGACCATTTACCTACTATGTGTGTGCATGCTTGAACTCTGGCCTCCACATGAGTGCATGCATCCTAGTGCAAATTCAGGTATGACATCAGAGAGTAGTGAAATCCCACCAGAGAAAGAATCTGCTTTTGTGAACTGCCAAAACTAAGCACGCTTTCCCAGCTCCGGATAGAATGAGGACCAGAGTGTGTCCAGGCCCAGGATGCTCTGCCAGTAGGAAAAAGGCAAGCCAGACAACTTTGGGTGGTTGCGTGGAGCCGAAAGAATAAGAGGCGCCCACGTGTGGCCATTTGTTCAATGACAAGTATGTCTGGGTCTAGGGTGTTGGTGAAGGAGCCGGCACAGCCACCTCTAAGAGGATATTCATGGAAAGAGGGAGGAGCCTGTAGTCTAGCATCAAGCCAGCTTCATTGGCCTAGAATGACTGACCTCTTCAGTCTATAGAGAAGAAAGCGGGACTCTCCATGGTAAAAGAATGGATTGTAGGGGCCTGGAGAGATGGCTCAGTGGTTAAGAGCATTGCCTGCTCTTCCAAAGGTCCTGAGTTCAATTCCCAGCAACCACATGGTGGCTCACAACCATCTGTAATGAGGTCTGGTGCCCTCTTCTGGCCTGCAGACATACACACAGACAGAATATTGTATACATAATAAATAAATAAATAAATTTTAAAAAAGAATGGATTGTATAGAATGTCTACTGTTCCTTTTTACTTGATATCCAACAGAACAAATCACTTAATATGTCCAGAATTGAGAAAATATAATAATCAATGGAGGAGAAGAAACAACAGACACAGATTCAAAAATGATTCAGATATTGAAGAAACCAGTGTTTCTTTTGGTCTTCATTTTAGACAGGGTCTCTTGAAAATTTTCCTGTGCTTGCCTTGAACTCAATATGTAGCCTCAGGCTAAGCTAAAAGCAACCCTCCTGTCCTAGCTTCCTGAGTTCCGGGATTAGAGACTTGTTCCAGTAGGAGCCTGGCATGATAAGCTAAAAACGAACAGACCACCCAAAGAAGTTCTTTACTTCCAACCATTATCACCTGCCAGAGTAGGACTCAGCCATCGATAAGTTTAATGGAGGCCTGAGTCTCAGTAGTTTACCCTGGAGCCATACCTGGTTGTGGGAAGAACCACAAACTGAGATTACTGAGCACCTCCCAAGATCAAACTATCCAAAGAAGATGCCTAACGTTCCAACTACTGTAGATAGGATCACCTGCCAGCACCCTCACCAGGACACCCCTAGACAAATGTCAGCCAATCAGGGGTCCTGAACCTCAGAAATCCCTCACCCCACCTTTACTACTATAAAAACCCAACTCTAACTGAGCTCGGGGCTCTCTGTTTATTCCAATATGTTGGACACATGGAGAGACCAAGTTTGCAAAATTGCATAAAATAAAGGCTCTTTGCTTTTACATATGGGACTCGGTCTCCTTGTTGGTTTTTGGGAGACTTTGCGGATCTGGGCATAACAGTTCCATCATTTTTCCAAATAGTTATTTTATAAAATAACCATTAACATGTTAAAGAAATAGGAAATGATATCAAAATAAATGAAAAGATATTTTCATAATTTGAAAATATGGACTGCTGGGAGAGGGTTGATAGGTAGGGGAGAGGCAGGGAGGGGAGTAAAGAAAAATGTAGAGCTTAATAAAAATCAATAAAAAATGCAATGCATTGAAAGGAATCAATGGGCATTCCAGGACTGAAAAAATATATTATCCATAATTAAGATTTAATGTATTCAACAGATAGAATGGGACACAATATAAAACAAAATTAATAAAGTTAGCAATCCATTAAATTAATCTGAGAAAGAGCCAAGACTGCACCCAGACCAAAAAAAAAAAAAAAAAAACAGTTAACAGGACCAAGTTAAAACAGAGGACAAAGGTAAAATTTCATTATATTCTTAATTGAATTCCTATAAGAAAAGAGGGAAGAACTGGGTAGAAATAATAATATATTTAAGTGATTGGTTATAAAACTAACGAAAACTAAACATCAGTCAGCAGATTCAATAAACCAGGCAGGTTTTTGTTTTATTTGGGGTTTGGGGTTTACATATTTACAGGTGGCTTTTAAAGGAGCAGAAGTCCTGGAAAACTGAAAGAGAGAGAGAGAGAGAGAGAGAGAGAGAGAGAGAGAGAGAGAGATGGCAGAATGGAATCCACCTCTATGGTCTCTGAGGGAAAGGGAATGGGTAAGACCCAAGACTCCTACTGCACCTGCTTGATGCATGAGCAATGGTGAAAGCCTTCTCAGGATAAACTCTGGGGCCTGCCCCTATTTAACATGTTAACAAATACTTCAAATTTACCACCCGAGGGGGCTGGGGAGATGGCTCAGCGCTTAAGAGCACTGGCTGCTCTTCCAAAGGTCCTGAGTTCAATTCCCAGCAACCATATGGTGGCTCACAACCATCTGTAAAGAGATTTGGCGCCCTCTTCTGGCGTGCGGGCATACATGGAGGCAGAATGTTGTATACATAATAAATAAATCTTTAAAATAAAAATTACCACCCGAAAGGAAGGACTGTGCCGAACTGCTCTTTCCTCCCTTTGAGCCTCCGCTCTCCCCAAGAAGCTATCTGCTGGAAAATCCACTGCATCACCCACAACAAACGCCAACTATTTATTTACAGACAAAATAGAAGTTGCCAGACTTCCTCAGCTTCCTGCACGCAGGAGAATAAAACCTGGTATTCAGAGCCACACTGTACTCCGGAGGCTGGGCAGAATAGGGACCTGTGGTGACTGGGGTGCTAGAGAGGGAAGCCCTGCTCCTGCAGATCTGATCTGCTCTCGCGGCCAGAAGGGACCTACAGGACCACACAGGGAATATATGTTTTTCCCAGTGGTATCCTGATAAAGGCTGGAAGGACACTGGACTCACTTAGGGCTAGATGATGTCCTTCCAAACACCCCAGTGGAGGATGCCAAGGCCAGAGATTAGGCTGTGCTTGCATAAGGCCAAAAGGACGCACAGCCTTGAACGTCTGGTCTCTCCTCTCCCAGAGCCAAATAAATAAAACCACTCATAAATCCACCACACAACTGAGAAAAAAAGTTTACGTAGTTACTGAGAGGAAAAGAAACTTCAACGTTAGGTAATGTTAGAAAAAAGATGTATGTGGTGTATTATCAATACTTAAAGATGGAACTTTGAAAGCCACAAGAGAAAAAAAAAGGTATACATATAACCCCACTGTGAAGACACTTAAACTGAGCGCCTCTCCCTTCCAAAGCCACCATTGTCCGATCCGGGTGTGTTTTACTCTCTAGTGCAACACCGCTGTTTTCTCTTTTGATAAATCCAGTTTGCTTCATACAGATGTACCCTGAAACTGGTTTTTTTGCTGAAACCGGGACCCCAGGTCCTGCAGGTGGTGAGCTCTAAAAAGCTGTGTCGATGGCGGTGACTCTTCTTCCCTCCTGCTGGAAGCGGAGCTAGGCAACCTTGTTCTAGGCTCGCCGCCCACGTCTTGCTCAAGATGCTCTTTCTAACACCACTGTGCGTCTGTCACGCCTTCCCTTGCTCCGAGGATCCCAACCAGGGCCCTGTGCTCTCTCGCGCGGGCGAATGTCACTTTTTTCTCGCCTTTCTTCTCATTCCCACGCCTGCGTCAGCCATCCTCACCCTCCGGTCTTCTCTAACCTTTCCCTCCCAAATCCCGCTCCTTCCTCGAGGGCAGCCCTAGGAATCTCCTCGCCCCTCCCGGGCTCTCCCCGTGTCCTGTGTGTGAGAGATTCCAGTACCTCACAGATCTGAGGGATGTATTTGTCCCTGAAGTAGTTCCTCAGTTTAGGGGTGGCACAGCGCAGGGAAGACATGGCCGGAGGCCGGCCTGAGATGCCGCGGTAGGCTGAGCCGGCCGGCCGCGTCGGCGCGTTGCTCGGCAACCACGCGAGGGGGCGGGGAGCCGTGCAGTCCCCGCCAATCAGGAGACGGAAAAAAGAGAGCCTTATAGGGGAGGGGGCGGGGCAGAGTGCGAGGGGGCGGGGCAAGAAGGGGAGGGGCGTGTTGTAGCTGGGCGGGGCAGAATGCGAAGGGGCGGGGTGGGAAGGTCGTAGCTTGGCGGGACGGAGGGCGAAGGGGCGGGGCAGGAAGAGGAGGGGCGGGGCGGTCATAGCTGGGCGGGGCTAGAAGCCAGCCTCGCGTGGGGCGGTCTGGGTACGAGAAGGAGCTGCAACTGCGACCGCGGAGGGGGCGGGGCAGACTGAGAAGGGGCGGGGCGAGGAGGGGCGGGGCGAGTTGTAGCTGGGCGGGGCAGAGTGCGAGGGGGCGGGACGAGGATGGGCGCGGCGGCCACCGCTGGGCGGGGCAGAGTGAAAATGGGCGGGACTAATATGGAGGGGCGGGGCTAGAGGCGAGCCTAGCGCGTAGCGGTCCGGGTAGGGGAAGGAGCTGCAGCTACGACCGCGGCTCTGTGCAATCCGCCCTCCCGGTGCAAGGCTCTGCGGCGCCGGGTGGGTGGGCTTCCGAGTTTAGCAGTGCAACTTCCGGGAGGCGGAGTCTCAGCCCCGTTTCCTCTCTCCGGACCCGAGTTGGTCCCGGCATCCCCGTTCCCCACAGCTCGGCGGCTGCAGCAGCATGGGCGGCGCACGGGACGCGGGCTGGGTGGCGGCGGGGCTGGTCCTGGGCGCCGGCGCCTGCTACTGCATCTACTGGCTGACTCGGGGCCCGCGGCGAGCACGCCGCCGCCTGCGCCCCTCGCGGTCCGCAGGTGAGGCGATGGGCGGGCCACAGGCTCGGGGCTGCAGGGCCACTCCGAGCTGCGTGGGCCCGGGGTGCCCTGGGCGCTCACGGGTCCCTGTGTGCATGGGAGGACCTGGAGGAAGGCTGGAGGTTGCCTTGCGTGGGTCCGGAGCCGCTTCCCTGCCCCCACTTCTTTGTTTAAAATAAGGGCTGAAAACGTTGCCCCAAGTTTTCTGTTGTTTCCTCGGGCTTCACAGGAGAGAACTAAGGTTTCTCCAAGCCATGTAGGCTGCCTATTACTTTAAAATTTGTACTGGGCCTTTGTGTTACCAAAGAGATGTCCCTGGCTGCGAGTATGTCACTGCGGGGCCTCAGGCCTAGGCTGAAACTAAGCGTGTAGCCCTGGGAAAAAGGGATCCCTGTGGTGCAATTCTGCTGGCACCTGCCCTGGGGAGGAACCTTGAAGCCATCCTCAGCATCCTGTAACTCGGACTTGTAGGTTCAGTCCTATGGTGATTGGGACATTGTCCAACAATTTGCTACGCATTCTAAAGGGGTCTTTTAGGTCCGGAAAACAATTTGAAATCTGCCGACCAAAAAAACCTACCTTCCTCAGAGGTAGAGAAATGTAATTTTTAAAATTTATTTATTATGTATACAATATTTCGTCTGTGTGTATGCCTGCAGGCCAGAAAAAGGCACCAGACCTCATTACAGATGGTTGTGAGCCACCATGTGGTTGCTGGGAATTGAACTCAGGACCTTTGGAAAAGCAGGCAATGCTCTTAATCGCTGAGCCATCTCTCCAGCCCCGAAATGTAATTTTTTTTTATTAAGTAACTATTAAAACATTTTACCGGCACCATTACATGTAATCTGCTAATGCCATTCTAAAGGCAGAATTCTCACCTCTGTGTGGGCATATGCAAATTAAGTTGCCCTTAAAAAGCAGAACACCTCATTGATGACTTTTAATGATCTTCATGTGGCTTTCTTCTTACGCAGAAGACTTAACCGATGGTCCCTATGATGAGGTCCTAAATGCTGAACAACTTGAGAAACTTCTATACCTGCTGGAGGCAACCGATGATCCTATCATTGTTGAGAAAGCCTTGGTCACCCTGGGCAATAATGCAGCCTTCTCAACCAATCAAGTAAGTCTCCTCTTTCCCACTGCAGTTGTGGTTCTGGGCGGTTAACTCTCGGTGTGTCTGTATCCTCACTTACGCTCACAACGTTATCGGCTTTTTTTTTTCTTCATAAAAATCACACCCAAATAATGAAATTACAGGAAGTAATCTCAGAGAAGCTGGATATCAGCATCGCTGTAAGAGCTGGGTAATAGCATCGTAATAGTTCCTAGCCAACAAAAAGCAGAGTTTGCATAAAATAGTAAAAGCACCTTACATTTAAGTATGTGTTTTCATTGGATAACCGACCTCGCTAGAGTGGTCTGTTGTAGGTGATCGATCCCTCAGCCAGCGATAACCACCAAGGTAGTGTAAATGGCTAAGACTATAGAGTTTAATGTGAAGGCTTTCTCCTTTCCCCCTCAGGGAACAAGTAAAAACAATTTGGGTTTTTTTTTTTTTCAACAATGCTTTTGTTAACATTGTCATCTGTACAGATTTATTTTGAGCTAAAAAAAGAATTTTGAATGTTTTGCCATTAAAAAGTGATACACATTTGAGGAAATAGGCATTTAAGGTCATTGTGCAACCTATACATGTATCAATATACAAACTGCTCCATTTATATATATATATATATATATATATATATATATATATATATATATATATATATTCTGTGTGTGTCAGTTAGAGTAAAGGGAGATAGATAAATAAAGTGCACTGGCCACATGGAAAACCAGGCATGGTGCCACACACTTGTAATCCTGGCACTGGGGAAGCAATGACAGGGAGTCCATGGAGCTCACGTTCTTCTCCGGGTCCCAGAAAGCCACACCAGTGATATTCACGGCATACAGAGGGGCTTCCCACATCACTACCCCCAACCGATCCCAAAGACCCAGATAATAAACTTGTTTCTCAACCAATAAACATAGTTACTTTTGACTTCTGTGTTTACTGCTTTCAGCAAGGGATACACATGCTTTATCCTGGTTTAGGGGCAAAAATGTATATAACTTACGACTGTAGCTGTGCGTTAGTTCAGGTTGTAAAACTAACAAACTATTCCATGGGAAATCCAAGGCAAGGTTGGTAGTTACATTATTCTCAGGTAAAACAAACAGTTTGAGTACACAGTAGGCTAGCAGACTTAAGTGACTTCAAGGTTTATTATTAACTTTGGCTATGAGGCCCAGCAAAAATTCCAGTCTTGGAATATAAGAGATATTTCAGAATATTGCATCTCCACACTTGTTGAGTCCCAGCCAATGAAAAAAAGTCTCAAAAAAAAAAAAGTGAATGACATTTTGAGGAATGGCCCACGCACACTCACATAAAGACAGTTTCTGAACAGGAAGATTTGTATATGGATATACAAATATACAAATAACATTTCTCTAAAGTGATTCATTTTAGTTGCATTTCTGTGTGCGTGAAGTTCAGCAAAAGGTTGCATATTGAAGTTATGGTCTATTTTTTCCCTCTCTCTTAGGCCATTATTCGGGAGTTGGGTGGTATCCCAATCGTTGCAAACAAAATCAACTCTCTGAACCAGAGTATTAAGGAGAAAGCATTAAATGCACTAAATAACCTGAGTGTGAATGTTGAGAATCAAGTCAAGATAAAGGTAAGTTGTCTGAAATAAAAATGCATGGGGTTGTCTACACAAAAGAGGAAGTAATTAGTGGGCAGTGAGGACACTGTGACAGTGTGAGTGACTCCTCAGCTCAGACCTCCAGTGCCCTGTGAGGACAGTCACAGCGTGAGGGACTCCTCAGCTCAGACCTCCTGTGCCCTGTGAGTGGCTGTCAGCTCAGATCTCCAGTGCACCTGTTCGTCCTGCCTACCCTCACATCAGCTGCAGAAGCCGATACTTACCTTAGAGGATGGAGAAAGCTGGCTTACACGTGTAATGTAAAACTTGAACATGTGACCTCTGGGGACACATTTGGAGTCTCACAAACATTAGTACAGGTGTTGGGCGGTCAGTTGATCGTTTCTTAGAGCAAGTGTTGACAGCACTCAGATTTAGTGATTTTTCCCGTCTGGAAACTCATGCATGATATTGAATACTGCCAGTGCTTCATGGCTTTTTGCAGTGGTGAATAGTATAGAAACTCACATACCTGCATCTCCAGAAATACGGAAGTTAATTTTGCTCTGCTTGCTTTTGATTCTCAGCACAGCGCCCGGTCATTAACAAAGGCAGCTTAGCTAGAATGGTCACCAGAGTCAGAGGACCTGACATAAATGTCCCCTGTTCCGAAGATCCAGTTCTTGAGCTCGGCTCTGCCCTGCAGAAAAGCAGCATTCAGGTCCTGGAGAGCCGGAGGTGCTCAGTCTCTCTCTCCTGCCTGCAGGTGTATGTCCAGCGAGTCTGCGAGGATGTCTTTGCAGACCCCCTGAACTCTGCCGTGCAGCTGGCCGGGCTGAGGCTGCTCACGAACATGACTGTCACCAACAACTACCAGCATCTGCTCAGCAGCTACATCACCGGCCTGCTCCACCTGCTGCTTACCGGGAACGGAAGCACCAAGGTAGGGAGCGCAGCGGTCGGTCCTGTGGGCCGGAGAGCCGCTGGCCAATCTCAGGAGACTGCATTTCCCGTCCACGTGCGGTGCCGCAAACTTCTTATCCCAACACTTGGGTGCGGAGGCAGGCGGAGCTCTGGGAGGGCTGCCTAGTCTACATTATGAGTTGGGGGGGGGGGGAAAGATTGGGATCCCAGACTGTGTATTTCATCCCTGAGAGGTTCCCCTAAAAAGATAGTGGTGCCTTTAATCTCAGCACTCCAGAATGAGACAGGTGTATCTGTGTGGATTAATGGCCAACCTGACCTGTAGAGCAAATTCTCACAGGCAGGGCCACATAAAGAAACCCCGTATCCAAAAGAAAAAGTGTAGTCCGCTCAGTGTTTATGAAAGTCCTCCTCATAGACGCCCAAGAAAGCCTTTTGTCTCCTCGCCCAGAGTCGCAGATCGTGTGAAGCCCTTGTGCTGTGTCTTGGGCAATCATTTGATCCTCTGAGAATCAGGAAA